CCCAAACACGATCTTTGGCAATATTATACTAATTTTCTTCAGGCAATCATTAGTCTGCATAGTTGATATTATATCGAGATTCGATGGTGAGTTTTAGTGCTATTTTAGATGATAATAATAATATTGTTGCCGAGAATGTCTAGTTTATCAACATTTGTCTTTTCATAACTATACAAATAGCTACGCATTTCATGCCCGAAAGACATATATTATGTTTACTTGAATGACTATTGTTATGGACGATTTTCCATTGACCCAAACATGGCATAAGATATGGATTGTATGTAACCCATCGTGGCAAGATTCTAATCACAGCTTAAAATTTATCATGTTGTGTCATGCCAAAAGATTGTATCATGAGAGGCACTAAAATGGCACAATCCCAAGTCCCAGCTTTAGGTAGTAGACGACAATGTCATACCAGGCTACCAACAGCCAGTAGTGAAAAACTCAACCCTAGGATAACATCTCTCTCGATAACATATCTCCCGAGTTATATTGACGAAAAGACTATGAATTTTAGTTATTCAAGATGTGCTATTAACGACAGTGCGATTTGAGTTACTGTAGCAGTAGAATTAGTACCACCTCGGAAGCTAAAGCAGAGCCAAACCAACTTAAAAGCCTGAGCCTGGGAGGCTGTTAACTCTAGTTCGAACCTTTTGCGCGACGCGAGGACGAAAGCGCAAGAGAGTTAATTAGCAAGTGTGGTCCATATCAACGTGTAGGGTAGATCTTAGCCGTCTTCCCAGGCTGGGGTGTTACATATATCCCCTGGCATGATAGATTTGAATTCTTCTTTCTTCAATTCTATCAGTCTGTTTGTAGTTGTAGATGTATTACAACCCTATGCTCTGCGATTTTGATAGATCCAAAACTAGATTATTCGACATTTTTATGAATCTGCCGGTGGTCATTTGTGACCTCCTTCATCCACTAGAGGATTAGTCCTTTTTTTATTGTTCTAGTAACTATTAGCTAAGAACTATGATTTTTTTTGTTTTTTATGCACAGATTCAATAATTAATTCATTTTTTGAATTATAGATGATTGTTCCAAAAAAACAGGTTAAACAATTTTTTAAATTGGTGTTTTATCTGCGATTATATATTAACAGAATAACATCATGAAACCATGTTTGAAACTGCAGACCTATGACAGGATAATACTTCACTTATTCACTTTGACCAAGCCTTAAGTCAGAATTCTATAACTTTAACAAAGATTTTAGAAAAATACACTAACATATACTACATTGAATTATTTATTGCATCTATGTACATTGGCAACAGGTTTACTGCATGGTGCTAAGTGAGTCCTAGGTGACTTTATCTTTATGCAACTCACATATGATTTTCATAATAAACCTCTTATGTTTGTTTTGGGATTTCTAGTATATGTCAGCTTCATGTAGTTTGCAGGTGAGAACGTTAGATACTTCTTCACTCAGTATACAAGGGGCATTAATAATCAATCACTAATTATTCTTGGAGTGCATCTTTTCAAGGAAAAAGTCCATATTACTCCCTCCAAGTTTGGCCTATGTCCAAATAACCCCCCAAACTAACATTTGGTTCAATTTACTCCCTCCTACTATTTAAGTTGGTCCAACTAACACCTTAAAGAGATTTTTTTTTTTTGTTTCTCTATGTACAAATTATATTTTAGTTTCGAATTTTGTGAGGTGATAGAGGGCTATGGATTTTCCATCATTATGTTTTATACGATATTGTATCTCTAGTGTTAATTTATTATTCAATTTCCTAAGCTATCAAAATTGTGGCAAAAAGTCAAGATATATTTTTTTTCTAACATAACTTATGTTCTCTATCATATCACAAAAGTTGATATTTTTTCTAACATAACTTATGATAGTTGGAGGGAGTAAATTGAACCAAATGTAAATTTACACTAGTAGAGAACCTAGCTGTAGTCCCGGTTCTCAACCCCTTTAATCCCGGTTTTGGAACCGGGACTATGCAATCGGCACTAAAGGTATTGATTTTTAGTCCCAGTTCCTACAACCGGGAGTAGAGGTGTTTATTAGGTAAAAAAAAGTTACAGCTGTGGAGATTTGAACCTACGACCGTCCGCTTTAGCTCTTGCACGCATTACCATCTCGCCTACCACTACACATCTAACTTAGATAAGATACGCTTTCCTTTTAAATTCAGTTTAGAGTCACCTTTAGTCCGGATTTGAGACATAAACCAGATTCGTGTCTCAAACTAGGACTAAAAGTCACACTTTTAGTCCGGGTTCATGTCTCAAACCGGGACTAAAGATTCTCGCACTGATGTGCCTCTGACACACCTCGGTAACCGTTGGGCAGGAACCTTTAGTCCCAGTTGAAGCTACCGACCGGGACTAAAGGTTTCTCTAGTCCCGAACGCGAAAAATATCGGGACTAAAGCCAAATTTCGAAGTGGATAAACAGTCATTTCTCTACTAGTGTTAGAGGGTAATATGGACATATGCTAAACTTGAGGGGAGTAATTTGGACTTTTTTCTCTTTTCAAAGACACGCCCAGCAACACACTAGGGGCAACGAGGGATTCCGGTGGGCGGTGGCAAGGGGAATCATAGCGAAGAACAGTGGCGATTTGACGTGACGAAATAAGTAGCAGCAGGGACGCAGGGTCTGGAGTGGAGAGGTCCGGTTCTACTGGACGTGGACCAGAAGCAGCGCTACTCTGTCTGTCCCTAAATATTTATCATCACGATTTGTGTGTCGATAACTTTGACCTGATTTATAGAAAATATATGCTACATTTCTATCTCCAAATAAATTTATTAAAAAACTAGATTTAAATATCTATCCAATGATACTAATTATGTATCGTAAATATTAATATTTTTAATATATATTTAGTCAAAGTTGTTTCTCAGAAAGCGAAAACAGACGGAGGGAGTACTGACTTAAAAAGGGCAATCGTCCGTATGTGTGCTTCTACGGAAATAAAAAAAATGATTATTCTTGGTGTGTTACGTGTTTTGTTTATTTGGCAGTCAAAATGCATAATGTTTGTGGGATAGTGAAAAAAATGGATAAAATAAAAAGGCAAAGCGAGATGTAGTTACGTAACTAGTTAAGAAAAAGAATTAAATAAATGGTGGGAAAACTGTTAAAGTTTTTTGGAAAAATCTAAAAAAATACAAAATACAAAATAGGTGAAAAGAAAGAGCAAACTGCGAAAAGGACAAGAAAATAAAGGTGGGAAAACTGTAGTTAAGTACTATTTAAGAAAAGGGAATTAAATACTAATTAAGAAGACGAGCTGTAGTTAAGTACTAATTAAGAACACGAATTAAATAAACAGTTGGAAAAAAAACTGTTAAAAGAAGGTGGGAAGGAAAAACTGTGTAGAATAAAAGGTAAGGAACCGGTGAAAAAAGATGCAGTACCGAAAGAAAGAGAGTGAAAGAGAGAGAAGCGCAGAATCAATAAAGAGAAGGGCAGGTACAGACAAGGAAATGGCTGCGCACATGGGACATGGGAAAGGAGAGATTCGGGTGGAGGGAATAGGAGGGGGTGGGAAAGCCAGTTGACCGGCGCACGAATCTTGGAGCACGTTTGACGGCACGAGATAAGGCAGGCAGCCGCCTGCCGTTGCGGAGCTGCGTTTTCGGGAGCCCTATTGCTGCTGTAATGCGCTGTCTGACCACACACTACACAGTGCCCTTGCATCATTGCATGCATCAGCCGGAAGGAAAAGGGCACTTGCATGCAATGCAATATCGTCCTGACGACGACCATGAACTAATTCTTCAGTTTGGTATAGATCCTGTCTCTTGCAGCTGACGAGGCTTCAGACAAATTAGAGATCGAGCGTGAGAGCGATCGCTAGCCTCATGCATGTCATCTCTGCCTGGTTTCGTGGCCATGGATTCAGTAAAAGATATGCACATATGCATGCATGGAAACAAAAGATTTGGGGTCTCATCAAAATGACAAAATGAGTGGTTTAGCAAGAAGTGTTGAACAGTATCCACTATGATATGCGTCCACCAAGGAGACACAGAAATTTCCAGGTGGCAAAGTGGTATGATTGCGAGCCGAGTGTGCATGTGCTCGTTTTGCAGAAATGCGCTGGGGTGTGCTTTCTCATTTTTGCGGATTTCTCAACGTATAACTGGGCTCTCCTAGTCCTAGCTACTATTGCCTGCTAGTCCACCACTTGCTCTTGAAAGCAAAGTTTTTATTGCGTACATAATGAAGTTTGTATATAGTAGATGAAAGTGGTTCAAGCGTCTATGTTTACTCCAAATTTAGGCAGAACGTGAGACCTCAAGAATTTATACACTACCACGAAAAAAAGTTTTCACGGTAGAGCAGTTTTTGTTTCCAGAGACGGGCGAGGCTCCTGCCTTCGGGTGGTACATGTACCTCTTCTTTGCTATGGTGATTTTAACTCCAATCACCACCTATTGGAAGACGTTTTGGGAGGCGGCGGCCTTGACACGGCGGTGGTGGCGGGGTTGCGGGACGGCGAGCAAGGCGGCAGGGGCGCTGCCGAGCGAGCGGCGGGAACAACTAGTTGGGCGGGGTCAGCGGCAGGGGTGTCACGGCCGACCTCGCCGGCGCCCTGCCCTGGGATTAGGGTGAACGGGGACAGGGGCAGGGCGAGGTTCGCCGCTAGCGCGCCGTCCTGTAGTTAGAGGAGGGTGGGGTCGAGGAGGCGGGGCGAACGGTGGGCGAGGCGGCGGGAGGCGCCGCTGGTGGAGAGCGGGAGAGGGGACGGCGGAGGAAGGGCGCGATGAGGAAAAAGAAGACCGCGGGGGAGGAAGGGTGGCGTGCTCCATGAGCGCGCGATGGATTGCGCGTTATCCTTGTCCAAATTATGCCATATTCACCAACCGAAAGCTAGAACACTCTAGCGCATGAACAAAGTCCTTGAACACACGTACATTAAACTCATGGATTCTCATTTCGAGGTTCAAGCATGGACCAGCACGGTACGCATGGCGGCAACATGGCATGCAGCATGCATGCCCTATAGCTAGCCGAAGGTGTTGAACAGTGATGCCAGGTAGAAACCAGGCGCACCATTGGCGGTAACTCCTCCGAGGACGGTGCCGTAGTCACAGAACTCGAAGGGCACACCGGCGAGGCAGTACGGCGGCGGCGGCGGTGGTGGAGGCGGTGCGGGCGGCAGAGCAGCAGCAGGCATTAACGTCGTCGCGCCGTTCACGTGCGGGCGGGCGCACCCAGGTGCGGCGGCGGCGGCGCCGTCCTGCTGCTTGCCCCGCTTCTTCTTCTTCCTGCTGTAGGAGATGCCGCGCGCCCTGGACTGCGCGTCGCGGATATCGCGCAGGTACAGCCTGACGGCGCGCGCGGCGAAGGGGTTGGCGGCCTCCGCGTCGCCGACGCCGACGCCGCGGCCGTCGGCAGCGGGCTGCTGCGACTGCGACGACGTCCAGATCCCACTCCCACGCGCGCCGTGGCGCTCCTCGAACGCGGCGCGGAGGCGGCCGACGAGCGCGTCGAGGCTGCCCCACGCCTGGCGCAGCGGGCACTGGCACGGCGCCGCGGCCACCGCCGGGCCGCCGCAGCCGCCGTACGCCGCGCAGAGCGGCGCGTGCACGCGCGTCTTGCCGAAGCGGTCGAGGTAGCGCAGGAACTCGAGCACGTGCGCGCCGCTGCAGCGGCACAGCTCCAGCGGCGGGCGGTGCGCCGCCAGGTACCGCGTGAAGGTGTGCCAGTCCCGCCGCTTCTGCGAGTCGTACCGGCTCGGCCGCCGCGGCGGCGACCACGACCGCGCGCCGCCGCCGCTCGTCGACATATGTACGTGTCTGGCCGTCTGGGAACAGCTAGCTGCAGAGAGATCGAGCGAGGGCTTGACGACGAGCGAGCTTCCCGGCCGGCCGGGGACAGTGCGCCCGGGCGCTCAATATATATAGCGGGCCGCGGCCGTCAGGAGGCCAGCTAGTCGCTAGCTAGCCAGGTGACGCAGCTGCCAATGGCGTGGAGCTAGCTAGGGCGAAGATGCCGCGGCAGACATGCACGCACAGGTGCAGGGATGGCTGGCATGTATGCAACGATGCAGGCAGTAGGCTAGCTAGGTGGTGACGCGTCGACAGGGCATGCTAGGAAGGAGGGAGGCGGGCGCGGGGCGGCGGAGCTGTAGGGGCTCGGCCGTGCGAGGCACGCGCCGTCTGCCGTCACGTCAAGTCGATGGATCGAGCAGGACGACGCTCTGGCTCTGTGCTGCTGCTGCTGTAGCTGCCATGCCATCGTCTGCCAACGCGTGCAGTCTGCAGTGCAGCAGTGACGATGGATCTCTTCATTTGACTGGCCGATTGGGGTGGGGGACGACGACGCGATGACATGATCCGGCGCGGCGGCTCGCTCGTCGGGCGCCCGGCCATCGTCGATGGGTCCATGGCCGACGTCATGGTCGCTGCGATCGATCAGACGACAGGCTTGGCAGTCGTGTGATGACGACCTGTCCCCGTGCCCCGTGCTCCTGCCTTGCCAGACAGAGTCAGCACCCCGGCCCGGCAGACTTGGCATGCGTCTCGTCAATGTGCATGCTGCATGCATATGCTGTGAGCCTGTGACCGACCGGCATTACATAAAAAATCTTTCCGCAAATGGTGCGGGTACATAGGTTAGGCCTCGTTTAAATAGATGCTAAAATTTTGAGGAGTCACATCGGGTGTTATATGGAGATATTACATGAGTTGTTTAGATACTAATAAAAAAATAAATTATAGAATCCGTCAGTAATCCGCGAGACGAATTTATTAAGCCTAATTAATTCGTCATTAGCAAATGTATTACTGTAGCACCACGTTGTCAAATCATGGATTAATTAGGCTTAAAAGATTCGTCTCGCAAATTAGTCGCAAACTGTGCAATTAGTTATTTTTTTAGTCTATATTTAATACTCTATGCATACGTCCAAACATTCGATGCGATAGGGAGTAAACTTTAGGAGGAGGAACTAAACAAGGCCTTATTATTTCCTTATTTTTTACTTGATAATAATTTTTAAATACTTTTATTTTTTAAGTATACTAGATATATGCCCGTGCGTTGCACGGTGGCCATGAATTTTGTCCACATCTACGCGAAGGATTTGATCATTTTGCGAAAACAATAAAAAAACTATTAAACGATTTTGCATTGGAAAACCTAAACTATTTCCAAATGCATTTATGCATTTTCATTGTATTCAAAATAACGTTCACGCATATGCCAATTCTTTTGGTTCAGATCGAGTGTGATCCTGACATCGAGCCTCTTTCATTCCGCACACGTAGATTTTATATTTCTAACTTTGAAGTTGACAATTTTCAATCTTTTCAAACTGACTTTGGCACAGACTGTCTATAGGTTATGCATGCCGGTGCTGATAAGCCCGGCCGGTGCTGGTTTGTTGTGAGAAAAAAACACTATACCATGGCTGATAAGCCCTGACTGAAACCAACACGCGAACAGGCTGAATATGTCTAGAACTCTAGATACATAATAAAAACAATACATTAAAAAAGTCAAAACGTCTTATAGTTTAAGATGAAAGGAGTACTATCCAAAGCGAACAGATTGTTATGTTACTCGGCCCTCCCTTATAAATATAAATTTTCCGATCATATTTTATCTTTCTCTTGTAAAATTATAGTTGCTTTTTTTTACCCTAAAATATCATCGGATTATCATAATCCTACTCATATTAGTTGGAGCCACTTCTACCTCAAGTCGCCACGTACTGGCCGGTCCCGTCATCAAACTAACATCCATCAGCACCTCAACCCTTTTCAACTGTATTATGCTAGTGAGCTGTTCATCTCAAGCATATACTACCCATGCTAATACATGATATCAATCAAATTAAACTATAAAAAGCCAGCAACTGCATATGTAGATATGACGTGAGATTGCTATATATTGTGCCAGGATTTCTAGGAAATTTGAATGAAAGTTGGGGTCATGGTTGAACTAAGAGCATGACATATAATAAAATTATGCACACATTGAAATGCATCTGCTTGCACCAATTGTACAAATCAAACCTATGAAATTTCGTCGGAAATTGAAGCAGTTTTGCATGAAACCTCGTGGAGGGGGAGAGGAAACGAGTTCACCACCAGTCCACCGCACGGATTTGTGAGGAAAAGCCGACGTGGATGCTGATGACGGGGTCGCCGGTGACAGGAAATGGCGGCGCCAGATTCCGTGCGATGGAGACGTTTACTGGCCCCCGGCGGCGAGGAAGGACGGTGGTGGACGAGTGTACGGCGAGGTGCGGCCGGAGCCGGGGCCCGGCCGGAATCGGAGAAGGCGGCGGCGTACTGGCGGGAGTGAGGTGGGATAGAAATTAGAAAGTTAGAAACGGGCCGAATTTCATTGGTTATGGACGCAATGTACTCGTAGACTATGGGCTGGATTCGTCAATTTTAGGGGCTGGATTCAATTTTAGGTGCTGGTGCTGGGCCATTGCATTAAAAGGCCAGGCCCGTATTCTCCCAGCAACAAATTAACATATGGAGAGGAGAAAGGTGATCTTCACTTATGAGCTAGGACCTTTTTTTTTTTTTGACAACATATGAGCTAGGACCTTAACTACACGATTACGGTTGTACCCCAGCATCTTTGTCGATCACAGAAGAAAATAGCCATCGGCTACTAATCTGTCAGCCATGTGCTTAATACTTGCACTCAACTTTACTCGTTTATGCACCTTTATAGATACTAGCAAATATACCTCTAATTAAAATAGAACGTGTAACTTGCGTCATTTGTTCTAATACATCTTTGAATTGAACTATATGCCATGGCTGGACGCTTGTTATTCTAGCTCGTAATGGGTACAAGTCACGTGTGTTGGGTTCATGGATGTGGTAATAAACAAATTAAAACCCTCACCACATATACTACTACTCTTATAAAACTAGTTGTACTCTTGCGCTTAGGGGAGTAGAGGGATAGACGAATCAGGAGAGAAAGTGTTTGACCAAAATTCGAAAGAACAAATTTTCCTATTTTAATATTGTTATATGTATAGATATAGATATATGTAGTAAGAACAAAACACTAACAAATTAGGTCTTGTTTGGTTCAGCTTCTGAAAAATGCTCACGCTGCCATAAAGTAGAACACCAACCAAATGGCCAGAACTAGAAACTGCTTTTTCAGAAAAAAGCAATTGCTCTCACGCAATATAAGTTTCACAACACCTTGGACCTCTAGTTTTGGCTTTGAAGGAAGACATTTTTCACAGCTTTACAGTTTATTTCAAGAAAGGTAAAGAGAGAGTAGATTTCATAGTTGTTTCAACCAAACAACCTACATAATTTTCGCAGCAAATAGCTCACTGAAGCTTTTTCACAACTTTTTCGGAGCTCACAGTTGAACCAAACAAACCTTTAGTATTGCACTAGCTGCTCCATCTGTCTTTGAGCAAATCATATCTTCTATAGTTGTCTTAAGTCAAATTTTTTAAAATATGAACAAATTTATTAAAAATAACAAATATTTATGACATGAAATTAGTATCTTTAGATATACCATGAAATATATTTTAGTGCATATAAATATTTATACATTTTTTTCTATAAATTTGTTAAACTTAAAAATATAACTGCTTGAGACAACTATAGAAGATTTAGCTATCGAGGAGTAGTTAGCAACAAGTAGTATACAGTACCGTGCAAGCTGTGTACACACATGGAGATGGTTGGAGAGGATCAGTCGGTGGCGCAATTTTTGGTGGCTGATCAACATCGAACTCCATAGCATCCGGACTCCTTAATTTGTCCATTTCAGTTCTGATGGAGAATTTTCTAGACCTGATGGATCTTGTACGCCAAAGGTGCAAATCAAACAAAGCTCTCCCAACCCCACGTAGTAGTAGCTGTCACTAAAGTTTAGTGGGCAATGCTTATACTATAAACCTTTTTTTTATATGAATCTTAGCGAGGTAGATGGTGGCTTTCCCTTTTTCACTCTCGGTGTACGGTAGGGAACGAAGTAAAGGGAAACGTGAATGGGACAGGCAAAACATGCGCACGCGGCGTCCACATGGCCCGTATGATCAGCAGACGACAAGGGTCCCTACCTGCGGTGTGTTATTCCATTAGGCACGGCTCGAAAAACGACCCATAGTGCCATCTCAACCATCCAAACACAGGCATGTGCCATCCAAAACAGTAGTGTGGAGCATTAAGCAGAGCGAGCAGCACAAATCCCAAAGCAAGCTTTCAACGGTGAAGATAGAGCACGTTCAGCATGTACACGCTACAATATATATTTTTGGAACCAAAAGCATTTACGGAGTCCGGAGAAACAATCGTCAACGAACTCGCACTGACCAGCGACCACTGACTAGAGGTAGGTTAGGTAGCCGCCTCCAGCGGCACCACCGATTCCCAGCTAGAGAGTAGAGAGGGTAGAGGGCACGGGGCACGGGGCACGGGGCACCTCCCCTCCCTTTCCCGTCCCTGTCCTTTGTCCGCTCCCGCGTGTCCCCGTCCCGATTCCACTCTCACTGCGGGTCCGTCCGGCTGCTCCGCTCGGCTTTCCTCTCCGCTCGGCTTTGGCCTGGATCTGTCTCCAAACTGCACCTCTGCGCCCGCACCGAGCCGAGTAGAGTAGCGGCGGGGCGCCGCCGCCTTCTACCTGGCCCGGCCGGCCGCCGTGCAGGTCGTCGGAGTCGGAGTGTCGCCCGGCGCCAATGCTGCCAGCGAGCCGCGGCAGCAGGCCGCCGCAGAGGCCCGCCTCCAGATCCTGCTCCGCCTCCTTATCAGGTCAGGTCCTGCGCTGTGCTTCCCTTCGATCTCTTCTTGCATCGCAATTGTGCTCTGCCGTCGCCTTCCTCTTGCCGCCGCCGTGCCGTATGTTTCTGCAATTCGATCGAAAAAGGGGGCAAAAAACTCAACTTCTCTCTGTCCCTGCAGAAATCATGGACCTGTCGTCGGACACGAAGCGCAAGCCGCGGTGCGTGAGCAAGGTGGTCATGCTCGCGCTCCTCGCCGCCATGTGCGTCGTCATGCTCACCCAGCCACCCTGCCACAGGCGGCAGCCTCCCACACCCACCCTGGTAATAACCAACCTTCTCTTCATCTGTTTCTACCCGCTGCCTACCATCTCCTCTACTCTACTCCGAAGTCCTACCAGTGTAGTTGGATCCACAACTGCAGATGTTCTGTTCATAAGAGCATTCGCCGATCCGGAACATGAAAAGCCAATCGCTGCAGAGTACAACCTGTTGGATTCCACCATTTTTTTTTTTTTTTGGTAATTCAATTTCGAGTTCAAGTGTCTGGCACTACAAGTCCCTCGATCACCCTTGTGAATGCGCGCAGTTCTCCATCCATGAGCGTGGGATCACGCACGTGCTAGTCACCGGTGGCGCCGGCTACATCGGCTCGCACGCAGCTCTTCGCCTGCTCAAAGACTCCTTCAGAGTCACCATAGTGGTAAGCATACATACTTCCTCACTCATGACTTGCCGTCTCCATTGTCTGAGTTTTCCATTTCTTGCTCAAATTTAGCATCCTTCCTATCTGAGTTACAAGGATGCTTACAGCTACAGACTTGTGTTGTCTCCAGGACAATCTTTCCAGAGGAAATATTGGGGCCATCAAGGCTCTCCAGAACTTGTTTCCAGAGCCTGGGCGCTTGCAGTTCATACAGGCAGATTTAGGAGATCCAGAAGCTGTATCCTGATTTATTCATTTTTTTATTTACTCTCTGTGCAAATAATCGAATGCCTCCGCAGCAGGCTCATATATTCTGTTTAAAACGTATCAAATCAAATATGAATGACAAGAAAAAAAAAGATTACTCTTGTGATTTCGTTTCCTTAATAGCATATCTTCAGGTTAATAGAATATTTGCAGAGAATGCATTTGATGCTGTTATGCACTTTGCTGCTGTGGCCTATGTTGGTGAGAGCACACTTGAACCTTTGAGGTACTGGGATTTCACTTCTCATCAGTCTCAGACTATCATCGAATTTCCCTACCTGACCATAATAATACTTGGATAACGCTTTGAACAGATACTATCATAACATCACGGCAAACACTCTATTGGTGCTGGAAGCCATGGCTACACACAATGTGAAGACTCTCATCTACTCTAGCACGTGTGCAACCTATGGAGAGCCTGAGAAGATGCCCATCACTGAAGAAACTCCCCAGGTCAGCAGTTAAACTTCTGAAATCTTTAGTTTCTTTCTAAAACAAGTTGGATGCTGTTTTAGTTGGCATTAACAAAGGTGAGGGTGAAAATTACAGTTTTTCCTTTTCAAGTTCTGAGCTAAACTATGTTGTGCAGTTTCCGATCAACCCATATGGTAAGGCCAAGAAAATGGCAGAGGATATCATCTTAGACTTCTCAAAGTCGAAGAAATCAGACATGGCTGTGATGATTCTAAGGTTGGATCATTCACCAATCACCAATAAATCAACAGTACCCTCTTTTGAAACCATCATTTAATCGCTGAGTTACTAATGTAATGAGTAACCTTGCACTGCTAGATACTTCAATGTCATTGGTTCTGACCCAGAAGGCAGACTGGGTGAAGCTCCTAGACCTGAATTGCGTGAGCATGGCCATATATCGGGGGCATGCTTTGATGCAGCACTGGGGATAATTCCAGGTTTAAAGGTACGCTGATTTACCATTTCAGACAGCAGTTGGTCTTCTGCTGCCATATCCTTTAATGGTTCTTCTGCCATACGAGTGCTGACATATGATGATGTTCCTTAGTTTATATGTTTACAAATGGTACTTGCTACTACAGGTTAAAGGTACTGACTATGAAACACCTGACGGCACTTGTGTAAGAGATTACATTGATGTCACCGACCTTGTTGATGCCCATGTGAAAGCGCTCAACAAGGCGCAAAGAGGCAGAGTTGGTATATACAATGTTGGCACTGGGAAAGGTCATATATCCTCACAACACCAATACTCTCTTCTTATCTTATATATGAAAACCAAAGAAACAAAATAATACGACGCTATCCTATCAGTTAGCTAATACAGTTCAATTCCATTTGATTGTCCAGGTCGGTCAGTGAAGGAGTTCGTCGATGCCTGCAAGAAGGCAACCGGAGTCGACATCAAGGTTGACTACTTCCCTCGCAGAGCAGGTGACTACGCCGAGGTTTACAGCGACCCTGCCAAGATCAACAGGGAACTGAACTGGACAGCTCAGCGCACCGATCTCCATGAGAGCCTCAGGGTGGCGTGGACATGGCAGAAGGCTCACCGGAGTGGGTACGAGCCGCCACAGGCCATGATTTTGTGAAGAGGTTGGCTGCGTCTAAGCAAGCAATCTGGATGGATGAAACTTAGGTGAACATAGCATTACTAGAGACCTCTCCTCGAGGGCTCTTAGTCACTCACTCACAGGCGTCAGTTCATATATATTATACATATAGTGCTCATGGTCATTCGTTCGATTCTTCAGGATTCATATTTATCGCAGGCTTTAGCTGATCAATGTAAGATCATAATATGGACATATTCGTTATTGTGTTATATATAATAAAAAAAAAGTAACAAGATGTTATCCAAATGCTTATTGTACGTTGTTGTTGGAGATGGTTCGTTGATAGTTGTAGACAGTGCATCACTTGCTAACGTGGTAAGGTTATGCAGTGTACTTGTTGGTCTTTACACGCATCTACAGTTAGAGCAGCTAGGTAAATCTCAATAAAAATGTCAGTTAGCAGATGCAGAAATCTTGCTGAGACACAAAAAGAACAACCTCCCGTTGCTTTATTCGTCAGATGCTCTGGAAACTGTCGCTTCAAGAACAGGATTTGGAACGATGTGCGTGGCTGGCACATGGCAGCAGAGGATTTATTTTACCTAAAAAGGCACAGTCACACGACACTCGTACCTGTTTCATATATGGATGACAATAACATACGGCCGGCATACACGAATAGACTCGTACCAGCTTCCAAGTGTCAATGACTGTCCTAGTATCATTATTGGCTAGTGCCAAAGGTTTGATGCGATTGCAAGTTAAGGAATTGCTACTGGCGAGAACTAAGCTCATTCATCGCATAAACGTAATGCTGAATCGATCAACAGTCATCGACGAGTTAAATGCCCAGTACCTATAGCACCAACTGGAAACGACTTGCCGGGTCTCCAACTAGACAAGTTGTACAATTTTAGTTTCGCATCGAAGATAGAAATGACCTTTATATTTAGTAATAATAAGCCACCAACAAGAAAGGACCGCGATATTTAGGGGGAACTTTTATCAATTGGGTTCAATTCAAAGCTTATGTGATACTCTTTGCATGCACTTACAAGTTAACTACTACCTGTATATGGTGTGCCAGTTTTGGCACCAACAGATGACATCTAGATGACCCTGGTTCTGTTTAAAAAAGATTCCTGCATAAGAGCCAGGCAGCACAGTGATGCATCGGCAAAACAAGCTCATTATAATAGATGTCCTCCAGTAGTTTTAAAAGAGACCTTGTGCAAGGGAATCTGCTGTGGAGCTGCTCACATACAAGGCACTGTGCCTGATGACACTCCAGCTTATTGAGCACCATCCTGAACAGAGAGAACAATAAGAATATTTCTCATCCCTTGAGCCTGGATACTTCTAGATCACATTTTACTACCTTTGGGCATTCCACGTGTACTGACTGTAATCTCCACAGGCAAAGTCATCTTCACAGGTGAAACTAAACCCTTTTCAAGCATTGGTTTCTATAGCCACAAAAGCAAGCAAATGTCAGTACCATACAGCAGCAAAAAGAGTAACAGGTTCCAAAAGAAATCACAAATATATTAAGGTCTTTCGAATGCAGCAATTCTCGATGATATTATACCTCAACTTCAATTATCTTTTGTTCCTGTTGATTCCTTTCATACGGGCAAATGACAGGCAATTGGCAAGTCGTGTGAATGTGGAGTTTTTATCAGCATCCCCTTCAGACATGTTTATCTGCTTGGGTCTGCAAACAACACGGTGAAAAAAATTAGGAAACAACTGATACCCTTCACCTCAATGTTATGTGCATGCATAAAAAAAGATAAAAACAAACGACAAAGGTAAAGCAAAATACCTCGGGGTTGATTTTCTTCTCCCATTATCCATACTTCCATCATCAACTACTCTTTCTTCAGAAGTTGCACAAGGAAGGTCCAAGTCAGTGGCAGCATTCGGCACAGCCTCAGTTGGCAAATTAACTACAGCTGATTTCCTCCTCCTGAAAGGACAAAAAAAAAGACACTCTTGGTGTTAATGAACTCCACATGAAGATCAATGCAAATCATGAGTCTATGAGAAACCACTGCATTGAAGTGCTACCTTGATGACGCACTGTTCCTTTTTGTAACAGCACCATGATTTTCAGTGGAGACAGAACCTGTCCTCTTTCTGACTACACCATCACCACCAATAGAGGCAGGCCCTTCAGTGCCAACAGGTTTTGAGCGCCTTGTTCTCTTTTTGACTACTCCCTCTTCACCCATGGTAGGATCCATCATAATATTTGTTCCTGCCTCATCATCCCTATTGACAGAGCCCCTCGCCTTTCTGACAGCACCCTCATTGCCAACAGGTTTTGAACGCCTTGTTCTCTTCTTGACTGCTCCCTCTTCACCAGCAGCCACAGAATCCGTTATTTTATTTGCCCCTACCTCATTATCAGCCCCCTCATTGCAAACAGGTTTCGAACGCCTTCTTCTCTTTTTGACTACTCCCTCTTCACCAACAGTCACAGATTCCGTTATTCTATCTGTCCCTACCTCATTATCAGATCCCCTTCTCTTTCTGACAGCCCCCTCATGGCCAACAGGTTTCGAACGCCTTGTTCTCTTTTTGACTACTCCCTCTTCACCAACAGCCACAGAGTCCGTTATTCTATTTGTCTCTACCTCATTATCAGCACTGACACTGATAGATACCCTCAATCTCTTTTTTGCAGCTACATTGTTGCCAGTAGTAGATTTCCTCTTCCTGAAACAGCTAGGGGCGCTGGATGAAGCATTGAGATCATCAGGCACAGCAATACTATTCCCTTCAGTATGCTTTTTTGATCTGTGTCTGCAAAAGCAAATATGGCACAAAATAGTGAGCAAGCATAATGATAGATATAATTAATTGAAAGTCAAGATTTTGTTATGTACCCTGACGATACTCTCGACCTCCTTGAGCTGGTGTTCAAAACAGTATTAGCAGCAACACAATCAAGACCAGCTGAAATGTTGACAATATTGGACACAACTAGGTTCTCTTCGCCTTGCTTTTTAGATCTACCCCTGCAAAATCAAATATGGGACAAACTTGTGAGCAAAAACAAGTCAAGCTTTGTAATGTATGAAACATTCCGGCTTGATCGCTGTAATACTAATATCAGTATTCAGATACTACATATTTGCATGTATATGACTTCGATATATCATTAGCTGAGGGGTGATCTTCACCAATAAATTGGGATTGAAATGAGAACATATGGAAAAGAGATCATAATGAGATAAGTACACAACTACTAGATAGAAATTTGCAATACCTTACAATGGCCTCATCACATCTGTCACCTTTGGAGGGTAAAAGTGATATTAGGTCATGAGGGCGAATTGCAGGCCGCTCTTTTTCTCTATCAACAAAATTGGTTTGAAAAATAGCTTTCTTCAATTGTCTGGCTTCTCTAACTTTCTGGACTTCATGTTTACAAAGTTTTCTCCATCGTCTGCAGTTCACGCATTTAAATAAACATTACCAAGGAAGCTTCTCCAAAAACATATTATTGATGGCATCATGCTAAAGCAGAAAAGAAAATAAGTTTTACCTATAGCACATACTATCATTACGTCCAGGAATTATCGTCTTAGCAATCTTGGACCAGCAAGGCCCAAACTCAGATACTGAAGCCAATAACATGGAATCTTCTTCAGGCCGCCAGTCATCAAGATATAGATCTGGATCAAGAATATTGCACCACCTGTTTTAAAAGAATAAAGAACTAGCATTACTATCACCATCAAACTGTGAACTTTGAGCTAATATATCCAAACCACTACATTACCTCTCAAAGATTTGCGTTTGTGTTCGGCCAGGAATAAACGGAGCAATCAAACTCCACCTGCCAGGTCCAATTAGCTTAACAGTGACCATGAGGCGTTTGTCCTCATCCAGAAGCCATCTTCCCACACTGGTCCTTTCAGGGTGCAAGGTTTTCCTCCACCTAGCAAAGACAAATGTAAAAAATATAGACAAGAAAAAAAACAGATAATGGAAAGCAAAAGAGAAACTTTATCAATGAAAGCAATATCAATATCATGAAACAAACCAAAAAAAAGGCAACTAAAAGAGAAGGAACGGCCCTGCTCGTCTGTGCTACTGCTGCAGGCTGCAGCTGTACAGTACCAGCCAGCCACAAATGCAGACCACACAGAAACTGAAGCAAAACAGCAGCACCAGCCGGAAGTAGCTCTACCAATGAAGCTGAGAATAACATGTTACCTATTAGAGCACTGAGTGCCAGTGCGACCATCCAGACTAGCTGATACAAGTTGCCATTTCTGACCAAAGGTCTCAACAGCAGCTTGAAGTTGAAGGTCTTCCTCCTTTGTCCAGGCCTTGTTCAGTATATGGGGATTCAGACTTCGTTGATAACGAACAAGACATTGGAAAGGAGTCCGGTGAGTACCCAGTGTAACTGCAATGTTAATCCAGTTGCACATTCCCTTTTCTTGAATAATTAGTAGAAGTTTTGTTTCCTCGTCCGCAGTCCAGGCTTCACAATTAATCAATGGATCATCACAGTTTAGCCACCTGATCAAATGCAATCAGAATTCTTTAATAATGAACATTTTTTCACGTTTATGAAAATAGGCTGTGGAAACTACATAAATCACATCGTAAGCAAACAGTAGTGCGATATGATCATATGAAAGACCGAGACATAAAGCATGCTGTGTAGGCGAACAAAAAAATTATGGAGAACAGAAGTACCTTGATTCACATTCAGCACCAGATCGACCAGGCAGGTACATAGCAGAAATCTTATCCCAGTTTATTAATGGTTGAACCGATCTAAGATTTTCCAGAGTCACCTCAAAATTACCAGCACCATTTGTCAGTGCATATGCCATATCAACCGCACTGAAGTCACCATCAGCACTGCAGCACAACAATTCTGTTAAAAGCACTGTAATCAACAACATCAAAGCCTTTCAATCCGAAACAAGCACAGGCAGGCTACAAACAAAGACAATAAAATACTAAAGTTGCATTGAAAGTCATAAGGTTGTGCCAAACCTAGTTCTTTTCGTGGGATACTTCAACCCCAAACAGTGCAGGAGCCAAAACTGTCAGTTCATTAACTGACATCTACTCAGTCAGACCCATTACAGAATACTTATAACAGGCTACATCATTGAAACACTTATAACTTGCACTGAAGCATCATAATTTTTTCTACTGAGATTTGGTATGCTTGAAGAATTAAAGGAGAAGTGTTATCAACAAAAAATAAACAAACATATAGTTTGCAGAGTAAAATCCATGAGAAATTCGAAATTACCTTCCATTATTCAGCGAGTCCAAAATCAATGTTTCTTGGTATTGCTGCTTTATTCCTCTGGAAAGTTTATCTTTCTCTGCATCTGACCATGGTTGCTTCTTAAATGACATCGGGAATTGCTTCAGCACCATTTCATACTTTGAAACATGTGGGTTCTCAGCTGGGCCAAGAAATAGTGCAGGCATCTTCCTATATTTGTTCTGCACCAAATATATGTCGCTTTCATAAGGTTTATTGTGTCAAACAAAACTAGAAGACTAAACTGAGCTATACTAGAATACAATAATTCTTGCACCACAGGAGGGTAACAATATGTAGTATAGAAACAAAAACTTCCATGTTTCAAGGATTATTTATATCATTCTGTTCATTGCGAAAGGAAAACAGTAGTTTTGATAGCATATACAACAAAATACATACTAAAAAAAAATAACCTTGCACATAGAAAAATTGGCATGTAAAAAACAGATAAATAATGATAAGTTGCAGTGCAAATGAAATTAAAAAACAAAGTAAATAATATATTATATGACAGTTGAAACCAAACAAATTAGCTAACATGACTAAGAGGAGTTTAGTACATACAGCATTAGGTTCATATAAAAACACTGTTGCGACTGAGTTAGCTGACCTGCTACAAATTGTTTGTCTGACAGGGCAGATCATAATATCTCATGGATGTCTATAAAGAGACGCCGCTAAGGTTTTCGTAAAGGTATTTACAACCAATAGTTGCAAAGAAACCAAAAGGTAGGCAAATTCTCTAGGCTAAGCTAATTACTAATTTTCCCATGGTAGATTCGGAAGAATGAATAGCGATAGGGATAACAATAGAAGGTCTGAGTGTTTTATGTATCCTATATAAGGGAATAATGTGTATCATGCAACATCCAACGCATAGCTGTAAATACAGATGCCAGTACCTTTGTACCACGGCTGAGTTGATTTCAGGGGAAATCAACCTGACACGAGATCCTCCTTCTGGCCTAAAAGATCTGCCGACTGATTTTCGACAGCTTAACTGATAGCCCAAAAGGCATTTTACACGATCCCTAAGATCCTTATTTTCTTCAATTTTAAGCTTCAATGTTTACCATTTTTCTTCTAATGAACTTCTGACACGCTCTGTTCTTCTTGAGAGCATCCACTAACAATAGCGCAGCCTTTGGAAACCCATCTCGGTGAGGAGCATTTGCATTTTGCTTCTGCGCAGAAAAATCATCACCAGACCTGTCCGTGAAAAGGTCACTGTGGACTCCCTGTGATGCCTCAGGTTTCATGGTCTTCGGTGACGCAGTGGAGGTACCTACAATAGGTAAATCAAAAAGATTAAGGACCATTCATCAAGTGTGGTGCGCACATTTACCTTACAAAGGAAAAAAAGGGTGTACCCAGTGCAGAGAGCTCCCGCTCTGTGCGGGCTCTGGGGAAGGGTGTCAGTGGCAAGCCTTACCCTCGCCTGTGCAATGCGAGGAGACCACGACTCGAACCCGGGACCTTCTGGTCACAGTCGGTAAGACTCTACCGCTTGCACCAGGCCCGCCTTTCATTTACCTTACAAAGGAACATGTGCTGAATTATGAATTTCTTAGTAGTATACCACAGCTTCAAAAGAAGCTACATACAAATGCTTGTGATGACAATCCCCTAGCATGTTAGCATGTACCATTAAACTAGTAATGAATTGCATTAAAATTCGTAAAGGTTAATTGTGTATTAAATCAGAGCGCAGGAATATGTACTTAGTCATCTATTTTAATTCCTTGATAACTATGACAGATCAGAGAAAGATAAATAAATATCTAGAAACGTGAAAAGAACACAGGTGGCAAGGTTCATGTTTGTAACGACCTATACAGTTCAGATCATTGCACGTTTGATCAAAATTTAGCTCGCTAATTCGCCACATTCATAGTTTCAGATGTCAGTCAGTTTAGCACTAGCAGCCAATACACGAAGCTGAATCAAAGCTGTCCCAGTTCAGTGGTATAGTTAATTAAAAAGCAATCCATGAATTGGCAGTAATTACTCTAGGACAAGGAAGGGGCTAGTTAGAATTCAATTCCGAATCAGACAGCAGGGATGATGGAAACGGATCGCGGGCAAGAAAAACTCACTCGACTGGTAATGCGAGAAGCGGCGCTGGATGGCGCGGAGCGTCTCGTGGTCATCCTCTTCCTCGTCGGTGTCGGACGGCGGCCACGTGCAGATCGGGCGCGGCGAGGACGGGTCGTTGTCGCCCCGGGGGGCGGCGGGCGAGGCCTTATTGAGGTGGTGGAGGTTGGCGCGGATGCTGCGGACGAGGGCGAGGTCCTCGTCGTCGTCGTCGTCCGAGGACGACGCATGATGATGGTTAGCCGCCGTCCCCGGCGCCGCCGCGAGGGCGGGGGTGGAGGGGCCCGCGAGGCCCGAGGAGACCTGCGCGACGGCGGCGTCCGGGTCGGCCCCGGAGAGGATGCAGGAGCGGCGCAGCGCGTCGAGGTCCTCCCGCAGGTCGTCGTCGATGTCCGGGTCCGAGTCGTCGGAGTACCAGTCCATTGCGCCGCCGGAGCCGGGGTTTCTTGGGTAGGGTAGGGTTTTGCGGCGCGGCGGGGCGGGTTAGTGGCGACGGCGGCGCGCCGGGGCGGTGCGGGGGGATTTGAATCTTCCCCGAGACAGGGGATGGGAGGGAGGAGGGGAGGAGGGAGAGGAGAGGAGGGCGGCGCGGGGTAAAGGGCTCGAAACAGCGCAGGAATTTGCGGCGTTGTCGGGGTTTTGCAGAGGTCGTTATTTCCTCCAATTGTTTGGCCTGAATTTAGAGCGCGTTTACATGGCGAGTTTTTTTTGTGTCAAATTATGGACTAATTAGGTTCGAAAGTTTCGTCTCGCGATTTCTCACCCAACTGTGTAATTAGTTTTGTTTTTCGTCTACACTTAGTACTGCATGTATGTGCCGCAAGATTCGATGTGGCATTTTGGGGTAAAAATTTTTAGGCTAAACATAACCTTATCCCCCCCTTTGATTTTTTTTTTGTCTTTCTACATGAAAAAGATTAACTTGGAAATCATGGCATACGTATCATTACGGTTTATATGGCAGGGAACCTACCACGGAGCAAGCAATACGGTGCTATTAACCTACTGGCCAGGTTTCATACTTTCATTAGCTAATTGGTAAGTCGTACTTTCATAAGCTAGTCGATGGATCTAATAAAAAAGTCTCAGAGCCTAGTTTCATCTCTCGGTACCGATAACAACGGCAGCAACTACCGAACCGAGTGTCATCTTATCATTGTTCCGTGACGAACGTCATATAGCCAATCTCAACACATCACAATTTTGACATTTCGTTAACATAACAATGTCAAAATCCACAACCATTGACAAGCATTCACATCAGCTAAAGTGACACTATATTCAGGGCGAGATTTTCTTTATGGTAGAAATTAGACAACAGAGTAACGAACCCAAAGGAATGCACTTCATGATGCAACAATGGTTCTATAAAAAAAGGTTTCGGAACCATATTAAGATGACAGTAGGCATCATTACAGATCACGGACAGACACCGATGGTAAAGACTTTCAAATACATTACAGACTCTGTTACTAAAGGAAACTGAATTATTCAGTAAACAACAACTGAATGCAAAGACACGAAGAGCACTCCATGGACCTGCCTACTTGGATCTCTGCCTCATCTTTCGGCGCTTCCTCTTGAGCCGCCTCATCCGCTTCTTCTTCCACTGAAATCAGACAAACAAGAATACAAGACGGTATCAGCGAAACAACAAGATGCATGTCAAGGACTGAAAGATCAAAACGAAGCCTAGGCAAACAGAAAAAAAAAATAAAAAGAAAAGAAAAAGGGCACGCCAACATCAACAACAGCTGTTATTGCGGAATTTCACAGATCTAATCAGAATGAAGCATCAATTGTTCCTCAGCTACAAAATGATCACAAGTACTACATCCCATAAAAATGCCAGATTACACCAAATCACAAAAAGAAAAAGAAACACCAAGGAAAATAAGGAGACTACAGCATTCAGAATGAAGTGTTCCTCATCTCTAAAATGATCACAAGTACTACATCCCATAAAAATGCCAGATTACGCCAAATCACAAAAAGAAAAAAAAAAACACAAGGAAAAGGAGAGCATCCAGAATGAGTAGGAGGTATTTCTCATCACTTAGATCAGACACAGTATTTCTTTCCTCATCATGCCAACCAATTAAATATACAAGGCAAGAAAACAGAAACTAGTTAATAGAGAAACAAGAGTTCTCTCAGACAAATGCCTCGATTGTCCCCATGGTTTAATGGAATGGATTAGATCGGACTCGTCATCTTTGTTGTCTCATCACAGAGAACAGTGCAATACCACAAAACAAATACAGATTTGAGAGTAACACAAACAAAGCCATGTGCGATGCTTCAGCTCAATTATGTTGTGCAGTCCATCACATGTAGCAAACTTGCCTACCAGGGCACCTACTATTATTCAACATATAAATCAATGTTTCTAACCCCTTGCTTGGGACCTCACCACAAGGCCTTTGCAGCATCAATAGCACCCTCAACAAATCACATACAACATTTTGGCTACATATTCTACTAGTTTCTACAATGCTACTTATAAAGACTATTTGAAAGAGTATTTGTCAGTAGAATCCTTGCTGCAATATGTGTTAGTGAAGTCTATAACGCAGGCAGTTAGCGAGTTGAGTCTTAGCAATACACAGCAAGTTTGAGTCACACACTTTCTATAACAGTAAGCTAGAGAGTAGCTGCTCTAGCAAGCAGCTACAAACAATAGGGCACAAGCAGCATTGCAGCCCATACCAATGAGCACAAAGCTTCAAGCTCTGCTGGTTACTAACAGCTCCAATGTAAAGTTTCTTCCAATTCCAATAAAATAATACAAAGAGAAGTTTTGATTAAGAATCACTATGCTTTATTTAATTTGCAATGGCCAACAATTAGCTCGATACTAGTGGACCTAATAAACAAAAGAATCATGGCTTTATTTAATTTGCAATGGCCAACAATTAGCTCGATACTAGTGGACCTAATAAACAAAAGAATCATGAAGTATACATTGGGATTCAAAATGAATAGGAAGAATTTCACTTCCAATGAATCAGACACAATCTTATTAGTTTCCTCGTAATGAGAGAACAATCAAACAACAAATATAGGCAACACTAGATCAACATTGCTGTGTTCTCTCAGACAAATGCCTCGATTGTCCTCATGGTGTAATGGAATGGATTAAATCGGACTCGTCATCTGTTTGATCATCACAGAGAACACATATTTTAATTCTTAGGTTAAGGTTGTATGTTGAGCCCCTGAAATACAACAATAGTAGGAGATGATTTTATTGCATTAGCAGCTCGATTTACCTGCACTGTCCTAACAACCAGCACAAATGTTCAATTGGAAACCAGCACAAATGTTCAATTGAAAACTAGGGAAACTTCAAATCCCCAGATCAAAATACCAGTACATACAAAAAAAGAACGTTGGCATTCAGAATGAGTAGGAGGAATTTCTCATCTAGTAGGTCAGACTTGTATTTCTTTCCTCATCATGCCAACCAAAAAAAGAACAAACAACCGAACGACATAACAACAGGAAACAAAATATATACTAGCATCACTACAGCAAGAGCGGTGGGTTCTCTCAGACAAATGCCTCGGTTGCCCCCATGGTGTAATGGAATGGATTCGATCGGACTCGTCATCTGTTTGCTCATCACAGAGAACCACACCACACGGCGCAAGGCCGCTAAAGTACACAGAGGGCGGCGCAACGAGATTCATAAGAGGGGAGGGGAGCTCACCTTGGCCCTCATCGCAGCGGGACGGCTTCCTCGCTCTCTCGCCGGCGCGACTCCTCTCGCTCTCGCCCTCTCGGAGGGGCTGGGGAAGAGAGGCTTGTGATGAGATAGCGGCGGCGGCGCGAGCTCTCGCCGCGCTTCTATATAGGAGAGTCAGTGGGCTAACCCTAGCAGGGATAACCGGAGGACAAGCCTTGGGCCAGATCTTCAGCTATAATGGGCCTCTGTTAGACAAAGACAATGTGGGCCTTTCTACATCACGACGAAGCTCCTACCAAATTTGCTCAAAATTCCACTAAAAAAACCAAATTTGCTAAAAAAAAGGCAAATTTGCAGTCCACTCTTCTTTTAGCTCCTCTCAAATCAAGTTTGTATGTTTCCCTTTCAAAAATTCAAGGTTGTTTGATTTCAAACTTTTGATTTTAATAGGAGGTATCAGATTGTAGCACACGAGAAACATGTTGAAAGAATTGGCACAAGAGTGCGCCAAATTCATAAATAAAGAATATGCATATAAAAAAGAAGGAGGACTTATAATATGAAACAGATAGTAGTAACTAAGAGTGCAAATCTAGGACACTGAGTTAATTTTAATCATTGAATCCATTCAGTTTCCCATAATTTTTTATGTACTATAAAGTTTCAAGACGTGTAGGAACACAAGTTAATGGACTAGTTCTCCTCTATTAATATATTTTGCACGGTAGAAGTCTTGCTAGCGATTTTCGAAAACGAAAAACAAGTTAGTGGACTAGTTCAACAAAATACATATACTGTAAGTTTCAAGGTTTTTTTTCTGTATACAAGGTACAACAAGGCCTTAAAGATTACTATCGAAACACACTACCGGATGCAATGCACGGATATATATATATATATATATATATATATATATATATATATATATATATATATATATATATATAAAAAAGTACAGCTCACAATAGCTTCATGAGACTCATTTTCAAAACAGATTTATTTATGAAGTTGTTTTTCTCCTTCTCTCACAAAGACATGAGTTAGGATGAAGCTGAAAAAAAGTAGCTTATTCCATTTCTCTTCCTCATTTCTCTCTCTCATCCATGTATGAAGTTGTTGGTGAAGCTGTTTTACCAAATATTTTTTTCAAAATAGCTCAGCTTCACCTAGTAAGTTGCTCATGAAGCTGTTTTCTAAAAAAACACCTTTATTAATGAAGTTGAGTTGTGCCAAACAGACCCATGGTCAAGTCAAGCTCAATCAGGCTCCCCTTCTGTCATCCCAGTGGTTAAGGCCTTATTCGTTTCTCTTATAATTCATCTTTTTCAACTTGTTTTTTCAACCGGAACAGTGTTTCTCTCTCATAACAAATCAGCCGGAACAATGTTTTGGCTTGTTTTTTAGCGAAGCGAACGGGGCCAAAGAGTCAAGGCGACCCATTGTTCCCAGCGCTGCCACTCGTCATCATCGTCGTCCATAGGTTCGCCACGACCGGCGCTGCCATCAGATGTGGGAACAGGTTCGTCGGCGGGGCTACGTCCATCTCGCCCTCCAGCATCTTCGTCACCGCACTCATCGGCGGCCTAGCCTCCGGTAGCTGCTGCACGCACCAGAACGCCACCTTGCACATCCTCTCCACCATCTCCTTTCACTGCTGCCACTCCAGGTCGTCACCCACCGCCACCGCCGCCGCAGTAGCCGCGCTACGACTGGTGCCACGTCTCGGTGGCACGAC